TTTCTCGGACATTCAGGCCAGTAAATGTTTATTATAAACAGAGCATTTACTTAAATACTTGTATCTATAAAAAGAATGTTACACATAAAAATGTATTTAAAATATATATATATATATAGTAGGTTTTTAAAGATAATAGTCGGATGAGCACATTTGTTTTATTTTCTGTAGGGGGATCAATTTACAATTAACTTAGAAAACTAGACCACGATTAGTTTTCATCATATATTTTTTGTGAGTGATCACCAAATACAAGGCCCAAGGGCCACTTTGAGTAGAGAGACATGGTATGGATTTGTAGTAGTGTCAGAAAAGGCAATAATTGAAAGTTTTGGGACAAAACAGGAAATTCTAGAATTGAAGATTTACTTAGGGAATCGAAGTATAGTTAGAAGTATAGAATTGAAGTAGACTTTAGAAAGAACCGGAAATATATAGGAAAAAAAAATGATAAACCTCTACTCCTGTTCAAAAGACCGGGGCGGCGAGTGAACCAGGCAATAGGTAGACATATGTACTCCTATTAAATTAATGTAACATTGATATATGTGATCTTGTGTGCCTAAACTATAGAATGAAAACAGATTAGATCTAGTCGCAATAACTATTAGACAATTCCATTAAAATTGATTGTTTTCTCCATCTTTGTGTATCTTTATAAATTCCTTTCTCAGGTTTTCTGATATAGATTTAGACTACGCAGTTGTGTGGTGGTTGATAGCATTGTGGCTATTGCTAGAAAGTAGGTTCTTACTAACTGTATGCCTCATAACAAATTCTAGCTGAATGATTGATATGTCGTAAAATAAATTCATCAAATACACATAAATATTAGCAAACCTACATAGATAGATAGACAGACAGATAAATTTTGAAAGTATTTAGTTACTTATTTAGATAGATAGATAGATAGATAGACAGACTTTGATAATATTTAGATAGCGAAATAGATAGATAGTGAGATAGTCTTCGAAATTATTTATTTATTTAGATAGATAGATAGATAGATAGATAGATAGATAGATAGATAGATAGATAGATAGATAGATAGGAACTTGAGTGTGGTGCTTGGCAGCATTATGGATATTGCTAGACCCTTACTCATTGAGTGCCTCATGACAAATTCTAGCTGAAATGTTCTCAACCAAGAAAGACAGGTCTAAAAATAAAACATCAAATATATATACATATTAGAAGACTTAGATAGATAGATAGATAGATAGATAGATAGATAGATAGATAGATAGATAATGAAGAGTCTTACATCAAGACATAATAAAGAGACTGAGATAGATAGATAGATAGATAGATAGATAGATAGATAGATAGATAGATAATGAAGAGTCTTACATATAGAGATAATAAAGAGACTGAGATAGATAGATAGATAGATAGATAGATAGATAGATAGATAGATAGATAGATAGATAGATAGATAATGAAGAGTCTTACATATAGAGATAATAAAGAGACTGATAGATAGATAGATAGATAGATAGATAGATAGATAGATAGATAGAGATAGATAGATTGAACAGAGAGATAGATTCGTTTTCTACGGCTTATCAGCATTTGCAGGTTATTTAAAAGCAGAAAATATTTTAGATTGTATACATGATTTTTGGATTGTATTGCTTTAGTGATACAAGTCTTACTACTTATCCCATAAGTACACAGGTAAGAGGTGGAGTCATACATTTACAATGTGTATTTGCAGGTAAATACCTTTAACACAACGGGAATAGGGGTTCACCTCTCCGATTAAAAATACCGATCAATTATCCATTACACCACCTGCACACCCATGCCTTAAGCACCTGGTATGCTCAAGCCCTCACTCCACACGTTACTAACCAGACTCTACATTGCATAACTCCGGTGATTAATCGGTGTTTCAACCTAATCGTAATCTTCATAGATAGATAGATAGATAGATAGATAGATAGATAGATAGATAATATGAACAGATAGATATATATATAGTATAGATACTGTGAATATATATTGTGAATAGATAGATAGTATGAATAGATAGTTTGAATTGATAGCTAGATATGAAGAGATAGATAAATATATCGTATGAACATAGATAGATAGATAGATAGATAGATAGATAGATAGATAGATAGATAGATAGATAGATAGATAGATTGTGTGAATATATGAACAGATAGTATGAAAATATATATAGCGTGAATAGATAGACAGATAGATAAACAGAATGAATAGATAATGTGAATAGATAGATAGATAGATAGATAGATAGATAGATAGATAGATAGATAGATTGTGTGAATATATAGTACGAACATAGATATGAACAGATAGTGTGAAAATATATATAGCGGGAATACATAGACAGATAGATAGAATGAATAGATAGAATGAATAGATAATGTGAATAGATAGATAGATAGATAGATAGATAGATAGATAGATAGATAGATAGATAGATAGATAAAATGAACATATAGATAAATATATAATATAGATAGTGTGAATATATATTGTGAATAGATAGATAGTATGAATAGATAGTGTGAATTGATAGCTAGATATGAAGAGATAGATAAATATATCGTATGAACAGATATAGATAGATAGATAGATAGATAGATAGATAGATAGATAGATTGTGTGAATATGTTGTGTGAACAGATAATATGAACAGATAGTGAGAAAATATATATAGTGTGAATAGATAGATAGATAATATGAACAGATAAATAAATATAGAGTATAGATTCTGTGAATATATATTGTGAATAGATAAATAGTATGAATAGATAGTGTGAATTGATAGCGAGATATGAAGAGATAGATAGATAAATATCTTATGAACAGATTTAGATAGTGTGAATATATTTTGAGAACAGATAGATAATATGAACAGATAGTGTGAAACTATATATAGTGTGAATAGATAGATAGATAGATAGATAGATAGATAGATAGATAGATAGATAGAATGAATTGATAGTGTGAATAGATAGATAGATAGATAGATAGATAGATAGATAGATAGATAGAAACTAGGTGTGATTGTGATTGATTGCGTGCATGATGTCAAGAAATCGATTAAATACTATGAACCCTCTGAATGACTTACGACTGATGAAAAGCGGGAACTCTTTCGAAAGGTTAACATAGTCAAAGCGGCAACGGTTCTCGCTCGTGTATGACTTTACTCATAAAATCAGCAATTGTCAAATATTTTGGCAAGGCATCATTTCCACCTTGGCGCCCCGACCAACATTAGCAAAAGCCGTCACGGAATATATTCAACCGCTAGATTGCTTTCCGGACCTCTTTTGCTCGTTCTATGCATGCATGTCTATTTTGAACCCGGCGGGAAATGACAGGCAAGGGTCTCATGCATGAACACACCTTCCTCGATAGGAACGGAGAAAAGACGATAAAGGAATTGCTAGAAAAAGACAGAGTTTCAGAAACTTCGAGTTTTGTGCAAATCGCTAACGTGCAAAAATGGCCAGCAACTTGGCACTTGATTGAAGGACATTCTTGGAAATTTGCCAAAAGCAGACGAGAATAGTGAAAGATAGGGAATAATTGTAAAGGGCTGAGTGAGAAAGGGAAAATTTGGTAGAATATAATCGAGAGGAGAGGATTATGGGTGAGGGAAAATGTGTGATGGGATTGAGAATTGGATTGCTTGCGATCCCGTGGGACTGATATACGCATACGTGCTTTCCACCTGAGGTGAGCGTATGGCTTCTAAACAAATATAGAAGTGTAAAGAAAAGATGTTATGAATAGGCTGAAAAAGACCTCGTGAAAGAGAGAATAAAAGAGAGAAGGAAAGAAAACCTTACCTAAAAAATTCAAATGAATGTGCAAAAGAAAGAAAGAAAAAGAAAGAAAGAAAAAAGAAAAAGAAAGAAAGAAAAAGAAAAAGGAAAGAAAGAGAGAGAAAAAGTAAATAAAAAAGAAAGAAAGAAAAAAACGAAAAAGAAATATTGATAAAAAACGGTTAAATTAAGAAAAAAACAGACAAATGATGAAAGATATTTAATGAATGAATCATTGTGTCAAAGAAAGAAAGAAAGTAAGAAAGAATAAAGAAAGAAAGAAAGTATCGGTAAAAAACGAAAATTTAAGAAAACAAGGAAAAGGGCAAAGGATGAAACATATTTAAAAACGAATCATTGTGTCAAAGACAGAAAGAAAGAAAGAAAGAAAAAAGAAAGAAAAAAGAAAGAAAAAAGAAAAAGAAAGAATGAAAAAGAAATTGTTAGGAAAAAAACGAAAAATAAGGAAAAAAGGAAATAAAGGATGAAAGATATTTAAAAAACGAATCATTGGACAAAGAAAGAAAAAAAGAAAGAAAGAAAGAAAGAAAGTAAAAAGAAAGAATGAAAAAAGAAAAAGAAAGAAAGAAAAAAGGAAAAAGGAAAGAAAAAGAGAGAAAAGGGAAATAAAAAGTGAACGAAAAACAAAGTATTGGTAAAAAACGAAAAATTAAGTAAAAAACAGGCAAAGGATGAAAGATATTTAATGAATGAATCATTGTTTCAAAGAAAGAAAGAAAGAAACTAAGAAAGAAAGAAAGAAAGAAAGAAAGAAAGAAAGAAAGAAAGTATTGGGATAAAGCGAAAATGTAAGAAAACAAGGAAACAGGCAAAGGATGAAAGATATTTAAAAAAAAACGAATCATTGTGTTAAACAAGAAAGAAAGAAAGAAAGACAAAAAGAAAGAAAACGAAAGTAAGAAAGAAAGAAAACGAAAGAAAGAGAGAAAAAAAGAAAATATTGCTAAAAAGCGAAACATTAAGAAAAAAGGAAATAAAAGATGAAAGATGTTTTAAAAACGTATTCTTATGTATAAAAGAGAGAAAGAAAAAAAAAGAAAGAAAGAAAGAAAGTAAGTAAATAAGAAAGAAAGAAAGAAAGAAAGAAAATAAGTAAACAAGTAAGTAAGAATTGGTGAAAAACGAAAAAAATGAAGGAAAAATAGAAACAGAAAAAAGGATGAAAAATATTTAAAAAAACCGAATCATTGTGTCAAAGAAAGAAAGAAAATCATGGGGAAGCACAGATACAATAAAATGTAGTGAATATAAAAGAAAGATTGAATCAATGAAATAAGTTATAGGAAAAAGAAGAAACAAACAAAGAACGGGAGTCATGTATTTAAAAAGAACGAGTCTTGCGTGAATGAAAGAAAGAAAGAATGAAAGAAAGAAAGAAGAAAAGAAAGAAAGAAAAAGAAAACGCGAATCATTGGCTAAAAGAAAGAAAGAGTTTATGAAAAACGAAAGAACGTCGGCAGACAGAAAAAAATGCACAAACAGAGAAAGTCAAACAAATTTTAAAAAATAAACATTGTTTAATGAAAGAATGAAACAAAGAAACAAGCAAAAAACAAAGAAAACATTAAAGAAAAACAAATAAGGAAATAAATAATTAATGGGAAAAGAAAGAAAGAAAGAAAGAAAGAAAGAATGTAGAAGGTAGAGAAAAAGAAATGAAAGGGAAATTAAATATATAGAGGAAGTTTGAAATGGACAAAGAAAGAAAAAAAAAGAAGCAAAAATACAAAGAGAACATAAAAGAAAAACAATATGGAAATAATTAATGGGAGAAGAAAGAAAGAAAGAAAGAAAGAAAGAAAGAAAGAAAGAAAAATATGAATAGATCATTTTGATTATTGGTCTTGGATCCACTTCTATCCTAGAAAGAAATGGCCATATCTCTAGTTACACCTGAGAAACAAGTAAACAATTTCATAAATCTCACATTTTTGCTCACTGCTACATAATTTGTATAAGACGAACTGAAATTCAACAAATATGCAGGCACATGCAGGAGCTGAGCCGAGAGCAAAGTAGAAGGGCGTGGGTGATGCATCAATTTCTGGAATCAACACATCGCCAAATTTTCTACAGTTCGCTATTGCCTTTCATTTATATGAAAAGGGAAGAAATGGAAAAATCGTGTTCAAAATATTTAAGATAATGTCGAAAAGCTAAGCAAAGTATTAAGAAACAGAATTTTCGTTAGAAACAAAAGAGGGTTAAATTGTTATGCAAAATCAGTGAAGTTTATTCTTCACTAAGACCTACAAGCTTGATTGACTCGAAAACATCAAGGTCTTGAGTATAACTTGTCAAGTTTTAATAACGAAACAATGGGTAATCTTAGTTTTAATCTAAATAAATAAAGGGCAAATTGTGTCTGTTCGTCAGTGTGTCTGGAACCCTTCCAACTGAAGCCATTTACCTTTTTGGAATTGGGATGATCCCGGTATTAGAAATCTTCCCTTCATCTGATGCTTGAACAATCGGATCTGTGTCCGGATGTCGAGCAAACAGTTAAAAATTCAAATTTTAAAATAACTGAAAAAAATTAGTGATTTTAAGTTTTATTTTTTATTGAGTTTAATGTAAAGTATTTTTTTTTTTAATTCAGTTTAAAATCTCTCCAAAAGTTTGTGAATTGAGGAAATCAATTCTATTTGTTCAAAATGTCAAAGAGTTACAGTGTGAGGTTACGTGACGTGGGGTTTTGAAGTTCCGCAGAGTTTGTGATTAGAAGAACTCAAATTCCCGTATGAATTGGAATTTCTGCCCATATCAGTCTTGATTGGAAATTAGAATTATAGCTGGAATCAAAATTAAAGTGAGGTTTTGATGTTCCATGGAGTAAATTGAGGAATTACAAGTTATTTCTTCAAAATTTCCGTTGTTGTTTTCTAAGCAGAACCAGAGGTTCCTTTAGTTTTGGTTCTAGCTAGCTTAAAAGCTTCATTCCACAAAATATTGATATAACAGAAAAATCTCTTTTATTAAGGCCATAGCTGAAATACAATAAATTATTGCTTTGTTTTAGATATTAAAATGAGCGTCATGATACGCTATATTCTTTTAAATTTTTGCATTTATTTCCGCTTAAATGACATTGAGAATGGTTCGAATCCTTCTTTTTTCCTCCCCAGATATAGGTTAAAAAGTAAGTCTTCTATCTGAAAAAAAAATCGTGTTATCTTCCAAATATTGTTAACACAATATTCATTCAAAAAAAATTCTTACAATCCAAAATGCTGCCACTCGCTCGATATCCAACAGTTCGCCACTTTGAAGTCTGTCATAACCCCCCCCACCTCCAACGGTGTGCAAATTACTGCAGCCAGCAACAGCGAGAAGAGCTACGTGCTGAGATCGATTCGAAAAGGGGTAAGCAACCGCGCTCGTATGCGATATCAGGCGTCCGACAATTTTACGTTCGGTGCGTGCGTAGACAAAACCCTAATATACACGGACGAAATGTGGTTCACACGTCGAGGAAGATGAGTGTATGCTAGAGGGAACGGACACGTACATTAAAATAAAGTACCAAAACGAGAGATTGTTACGCCGAACACCGTCGGTCAGCACCATCAACAGTGAACCATAGAAGGTCGTTCAGCACGAGAGAGCTTTAAATAACCCAAAAAGGGTTGATAATCCGCAAGGAAAAGAATTACCGTATATAACTGTGTATAAAGCGAATTTATATAAAATACCACCTGTAATGCATGATTTTTAAACCCTTCAAAAAATTAACTGTGCATAGTACGAATCCTTTTCTTAAGTAAAGAATCTGAGCCTAAAAATTCGCATTTTACTCGTATGTATAGCGTAATAACGGATAATGTTTATATAGCTTTGACCCGTCACATTACATACAATAGTTTGCGTGACGTCCCGGGGGACTACGTTGCTTGAAAAGTCTTTTCACATTCTCATGAGAACAAGTAGTTTAAGGAAGTGCTACGAGTTTACTATTGAATTAATATGTGAAAAAGCGAGGTAGTTTGCACGACGAAAGCGCTAAGTGTCGTGGTACGGTAGGCACTTTGTTTTGTCTTCATTCTAATGAGAGAACAATGAGGCAAACACATGAATCAAGACTGACTGAGGTGTAAAATTGTTAGACAGATAGATAGATAATGAACAGACTGATATATATATATATATATATATATATTACATGAATCAGTCATACAAAAAAAAAACGATAGAGAAGTTAATGATTTAAATGGCGAGAATACTTCTATATCTGTTTTTTGTTTGAATGATTCATGTAATGTAAATTAAACTGCACCTCATATCTGATATATATATATATATATATATATATATATATATATAAAGTAATAATGTCAGTCAACACTCGAGAACTAACGATACGAGAACTAACAAAGCCGGAGGGCGCAGATGTTTATTTACCACGCACACAAAGACACACACACACAGAGACAGACACACACACACACACACATATATATATATATATATATATATATATATATATATATATGAAATCGTATTATTTGATTAGCTGGCTATTCCTCAACCATATCTTAACTTGATTGCTATTTATTTATCATCACTTTAGAATCATAACTACGCATTAAGATAGATAGATAGATAGATAGATAGATAGATAGATAGATAGATAGATAGATAGAAGGCCAAAATTAGGCCCGGGTTATGAAGCCACTGAAGTTATGCCATTTTGCAAAGGATGTGGAATATAAAAAAATATGAAAAATGAGATACGGCGTACTTTGTTCCTTTTACAGTTTCGGTGAATCTTCCAATGCGCTCACGTGTTGGTGGAACATTGCAAGCAGTAAAATTATGAAAAGAATAACTGAAGGCGAATGGTGAAAATTGGCGATGTTATTTGTTATGTTGTTTTATAAAATGAGAATGGCGCCTGGCTAAATCTGCCTTGTTTAGAATGGATGAATATATGATCACCATGGGAGTAGAGGTTAAACGGAAAAGAAGCTGAAAGATAAAGAGAAGATTAAATGTGAGAAGATTAAAAGAATGTGTCAGATCATTCAAATCGAAAGAAAGAAAGAAAGAAAGAAAGAAAGAAAGAAAGAAAGAAAGAAAGAAAGAAAATAGTATAGGACGATGAAAAGAAAGAAGACAGAAGAAACCAAGTAATGGACGACTAAAAGAAGAATCAAATAAAGATGAGAAAGAAAGAAAGAAAGAAAGAAACAAACAAAAAGAAAAAGGAAGAATAAAAGAAAGATTCAAATAAAAATTACAAAGAAAGTTTCAGATGATTTATATCTAAAGATACAAAGAGGAACAAAAGAAAGAAAGGAGGAAGGAAAGAAAGCAAGAATGAAAGAACGAAAGAAAAAGTAAAAAGAAAGAAACGAAGTACGATTAAAAAAGAAAGTGTTAAATAAAGATGACAGAAAGAAAGAAAGAAAGAAAGAAAGAAAGAAAGAAAGAAAGAAAAAGGAAGATGAAAAGAAAGAAAGTGTCAAATAAACGTGAAAGAAAGAAAGAGAAAAGGAAAATGAAATGAAAGTATCAAATAAACATGAAAGAAGGAACCAAACAGAAAAAAAAGAAACTAAATACGATTAAAACAGTTAAGTGTCTAATAAAGAAAGAAAGAAAAAAAGACAGAAAGAAAGAAAGAAAGAAAGAAAGAAAGAAAGATTCAAATAAAAATGACAAAGAAAGAAAGAAAAATTGACAGAAAGAAAGTTGTCAGGAATGATTTTTAAAAAATGAAACAGAAGAAACAAGTAAAAGTACAATAGAAGATGACGGACAGAAAGAAAGAAAGAAAGAAAGAAAGAAAGACAAATCTAGCTAAAGATGACAAAAGGAAAGAAAACATCATTGAATGATGTAAGAAAGAAACATAATAAATGCGTGTCGAACAGAAAGAATGAATATTTGGAAATATAGAAAAAAAACGAGTATGTTGACACGTGAATAAGAAATGTCTCTTGCCAATGATGCTAAAATTATGAGAAGATAATAGGAAAACACATACCAACAAGGGGATAAGAATAACGTGAAGAAATCGCGAACATAATGTGAGAAAAAAAGAAAGGACCGATTCAGTCAGAAATATGGCGTCTCTTCAAAATAAAAAGGCGCGAAATAAGTACGAGAGGTGAGCAAAAAGAGCAAATTTAAAACTCGTTAATAAAATAAGTCTTTAACGAACAGTTGCTAAATCCTTAAGCCTTAGGGACTAAGGAGAGGTCGTCGTAGCTGCTAGCTATGATCTCGGACATTATTTCCATGGTGCACACTGTAAAAGATATATGGATTTGCTTCCCTAAAAAAGAAACGCCAATTTGGGAAAAAATACGATACCTCTATCCTACTACTTCTATATGCAACATCACATCAGGATATAGGCAATAATGACTCTCCACATCTTCTTTTCTTGTGTTTTTCTTAGTTTTTCTCTCTTTGGTAAAACCACCTTCTGGCATCCTTTTATACAAGTTCGTCATATGCAGTTGATGGTCCGACCGTTTCTCTCGCGAGGCGATGAGACGGAAGAGAGATATTGCAGTTGAGGTATAGTCCTTTCCTTTCGCTATGCGAAGAGACGGAAAAGAGAACTTGTATTTGATGGTTCGTCCTTTTCTCTCGCTAGGCGAAGAGACGGGAAAGAGAAATTGCAGTTGAGGTATAGTCCTTTCCTTTCGTTATGCGAAGAGACGGAAAAGAGAACTTGTATTTGATGGTTCGTCCTTTTCTCTCGCTAGGCGATGAGACGGGAAAGAGAAATTGCAGTTGAGGTATAGTCCTTTCCTTTCGCTATGCGAAGAGACGGAAAAGAGAACTTGTATTTGATGGTACGTCCTTTTCTCTCGCTAGGCGAAGAGACGGGAAAGAGAAATTGCAGTTGAGGTATAGTCCTTTCCTTTCGCTATGCGAAGAGACGGAAAAGAGAACTTGTATTTGATGGTTCGTCCTTTTCTCTCGCTAGGCGAAGAGACGGGAAAGAGAAATTGCAGTTGAGGTATAGTCCTTTCCTTTCGCTATGCGAAGAGACGGAAAAGAGAACTTGTAGATGGTTCGTCCTTTTCTCTCGCTAGGGATGAGACAGGAAAGAGAAATTGCAGTTGAGGTATTCCTTTCCTTTCGCTATGCGAAGAGACGGAAAAGAGAACTTGTATTTGATGGTTCGTCCTTTTTCTCTCGCTACGGGGCGATGAGACGGAAAGAGAAATTGCAGTTGAGGTATAGTCCTTTCCTTTCGCTATGCGAAGAGACGGAAAAGAGAACTTGTATTTGATGGTTCGTCCTTTTCTCTCGCTAGGCGAAGAGAAGGAAGAACGGAAATTATAGTCCCTTTCCTTTCGCTATGCAGTTGAACTTGTATTTGATGGTTTCCTTTCGCTATGCGAAGAGACGGAAAAGAGAACTTGTATTTGATGGTTCGTCCTTTTCTCTCGCTAGGCGATGAGACAGGAAAGAGAAATTGCAGTTGAGGTATAGTCCTTTCCTTTCGCTATGCGAAGAGACGGAAAAAGAGAACTTGTATTTGATGGTTCGTCCTTTTTTCTCGCTAGGCGAAGAGACGGGAAAGAGACAGTTGAGGTATAGTCCTTTCCTTTCGCTATGCGAAGAGACGGAAAAGAGAACTTGTATTTGATGGTTCGTCCTTTTTCTCTCGCTAGGCGAAGAGACAGGAAAGAGAAATTGCAGTTGTGGTATAGTCCTTTCTTTCGCTATGCGAAGAGACGGAAAGAGAACTTGTATTTGATGGTTCGTCCTTTTTCTCGCTAGAGGCGAAGAGACGGGAAGAGAAATTTCCTTTCCTTTCGCTATGCGAAGAGACGGAAAAGAGAACTTGTATTTGAGGCGAAAGACGGGAAAGAGAAACAGTTGAGGTATATTTGATGGAGACGGAAAAAGAGAACTTGTATTTGATGGTTCGTCCTTTTCTCTCGCTAGGCGATGAGACGGGAAAGAGAAATTGCAGTTGAGGTATAGTCCTTTCCTTTCGCTATGCGAAGAGACCTTGTATTTGATGGTTCGTCCTTTCTCTCGCTAGGCGAAGAGACAGGAAAGAGAAATTGCAGTTGAGGTATAGTCCTTTCCTTTCGCTATGCGAAGAGACGGAAAAGAGAACTTGTATTTGATGGTTCGTTTTTTTCTCTCGCTAGGCGAAGAGACGGGAAAGAAATTGCAGTTGAGGTATAGTCCTTTCCTTTCGCTATGCGAAGAGACGGAAAAGAGAACTTGTATTTGATGGTTCGTCCTTTTTCTCTAGGCGATGAGACGGGAAAGAGAAATTGCAGTTGAGGTATAGTCCTTTCCTTTCGCTATGCGAAGAGACGGAAAAAAGAGAACTTGTATTTGATGGTTCGTCCTTTTTCTCTCTTTTCAGCGAAGAGACAGGAAAGAGAAATTGCAGTTGAGGTATAGTCCTTTCCTTTCGCTATGCGAAGAGACGGAAAAAGAGAACTTGTATTTGATGGTACGTCCTTTTTTCTCGCTAGGCGAAGAGACGGGAAAGAGAAATTGCAGTTGAGGTATAGTCCTTTCCTTTCGCTATGCGAAGAGACGGAAAAGAGAACTTTTATTTGATGGTTCGTCCTTTTCTCTCGCTAGGCGATGAGACGGGAAAGAGAAATTGCAGTTGAGGTATAGTCCTTCCTTGGCTATGCGAAGAGACGGAAAGAGAACTTGTATTTGATGGTACGTCCTTTTCTCTCGCTAGGCGAAGAGACGGGAAAGAGAAATTGCAGTTGAGGTATAGTCCTTTCCTTTCGCTATGCGAAGAGACGGAAAATAGAACTTGTATTTGATGGTTCGTCCTTTTCTCTCGCTAGGCGAAGAGACGGGGAAAATTGCAGTTGAGGTATAGTCCTTTCCTTTCGCTATGCGAAGAGACGGAAAAGAACTTGTATTTGATGGTACGTCCTTTTTGATGGTTCGTCCCTTTTCTCTCGCGAAAAGACAGGCGAAGAGACGGGAAAGAGAAATTGCAGTTGAGGTATAGTCCTTTCCTTTCGCTATGCGAAGAGACGGAAAAAGAGAACTTGTATTTGATGGTTCGTCCTTTTCTCTCGCTAGGCGAAGAGACGGGAAAGAGAAATTGCAGTTGAGGTATAGTCCTTTCCTTTCGCTATGCGAAGAGACGGAAAAAGAGAAATTTGATGGAGACGGGAAAGAGAAACAGTTGAGACAGTTATAGTCCTTTCCTTTCGCTATGCGAAGAGACGGAAAAGAGAACTTGTATTTGATGGTTCGTCCTTTTTTCTCGCTAGGCGAAGAGACGGGAAAGAGAAAAGTTGAGGTATAGTCCTTTCCTTTCGCTATGCGAAGAGACGAAAAAGAGAACTTGTATTTGATGGTTCGTCCTTTTTTTCTCGCAGTTGAGGTATAGTCCTTTATGCGAAGAGAACTTGTATTTGATGGTTCGTCCTTTTCTCTCGCTAGGCGAAGAGACAGGAAGAGAATTGCAGTTGAGGTATAGTCCTTTCCTTTCGCTATGCGAAGAGACGGAAAAGAGAACTTGTATTTGATGGTTCGTCCTTTTTCTCTCGCTAGGCGAAGAGACGGGAAAGAGAAATTGCAGTTGAGGTATAGTCCTTTCCTTTCGCTATGCGAAGAGACGGAAAAAGAACTTGTATTTGATGGTTCGTCCTTTTCTCTTTCGAAGAGACGGGAAAGAGAAATTGCAGTTGCGATGCGAAGAGACGGAAAAGAGAACTTGTATTTGATGGTTCGTCCTTTTTTCTCTCGCTAGGCGATGAGACGGGAAAGAGAAATTGCAGTTGAGGTATAGTCCTTTCCTTTCGCTATGCGAAGAGACGGAAAAAGAGAACTTGTATTTGATGGTTCGTCCTTTTCTCTCGCTAGGCGAAGAGACAGGAAAAGAGAAATTGCAGTTGAGGTATAGTCCTTTCCTTTCGCTGGCGTCCTTTTCTCTCTCCTTCAGGCGAAGGGACAGGAAGAGACGGAAAAGAGAACTTGTATTTGATGGTTCGTCCTTTTTCTCGCTAGGCGATGGAGACGGAAAGAGAAATTGCAGTTGAGGTATAGTCCTTTCCTTTCGCGCGAAGAGACGGAAAAGAGAACTTGTATTTGATGGTTCGTCCTTTTCTCTTGAGGCGAAGAGACGGAAAGATAGTCCTTTCCTTTCGCTATGCGAAGAGACGGAAAAAGAGAATGGTTCGTCCTTTTCTCTCGCTTTGTATTTGATGGTTCGTCCTTTTTCTCTCTAGGCGATGAGACGGAAAGAGCGAGTTGAGGACTATGGAAAAGAGAACTTGTATTTGATCTGCAGGCGATGAGACGGGAAAGAGAAAGGCAGTTGAGGTATAGTCCTTTCCTTTCGCTATGCGAAGAGACGGAAAAGAGAACTTGTATTTGATGGTTCGTCCTTTTCTCTCGCTAGGCGTCCAGTTGAGGTCCTTTCTCTCGCTATGCGAAGAGACGGAAAAGAATTTGATGGACGTCCTTTTCTCGCTAGGAAGAAGACGGGAAAGAGAAATTGCAGTTGAGGTATAGTCCTTTCCTTTTTGCGAAGAGACGAACTTGTATTTGATGGTTCGTCCTTTTTCTCTCGCTAGCGAAAGACAGGAGACGGAAAGAGACGGAAAATAGAACTTGTATTTGATGGTCTCGTCCGGGGAAAGAGAAATTACAGTTTTCCTTTCCTTTCGCTATGCGCGGAAAAAGAGGTATTTGATGGTTCGTCCTTTTCTCTCGAGGCGGGACGGGAAAAGAGAAATTGCAGTTGAGGTATAGTCCTTTCCTTTCGCTATGCGAAGAGACGGAAAGAGAACTTGTATTTGATGGTTCGTCCTTTTTTCTCTCGCAGTTAGGTATATCCCTTTCCTTTCGCGAAGAGACGGAAAAGAACTTTTATTTGATGGTTAGTCCTTTTCTCTCGCTAGGCGAAGAGACAGGAAAAGAAATTGCATTTGAGGTATAGTCCTTTCCTTTTGCGAAGAGACGGAAAAGAAGAACTTGTATTTGATGGTTCGTCTTTTTTCTCTCGCGAAGAGACGGGGTAGAGTCCTTTCCTTTGCTATGCGAAGGACGGAAAAAGAGAACTTGTATTTGATGGTTCGTCCTTTCTCTCGCTAGGCGATGAGACGGGAAGAGAAATTGCAGTTGAGGTATAGTCCTTTCCTTTCGCTATGCGAAGAGACGGAAAAGAGAACTTGTATTTGATGGTTCGTCCTTTTTCTCGCTAGGCGAAGAAGAGACGGGAAAAGAAATTACAGTTGCGAGGTATAGTCCTTTCCTTTCGCTATGCGAAGAGACGAAAGAGAACTTGTCGTCCTTTTCTCTCGCTAGAGCGAAGAGACAGGAAAGAGAAATTCTCGTATAGTCCTTTCCTTTCGCGAAGAGACGGAAAAAGAGAACTTGTATTTGATGGTTCGTCCTTTCTCGCTAGGCGAAGAGACGGGAAAGAGAAATTGCAGTTGAGGTATAGTCCTTTCCTTTCGCTATGCGAAGAGACGGAAAAGAGAACTTGTATTTGATGGTTCGTCCTTTTTCTCTCGAAGAGACGGAAAGAGAAATTGCAGTTGCGAAGAGACGAAGAGACGGAAAAAGAACTTGATTTGATGGTTCGTCCTTTTCTCTCAGTTGAGACGGTATAGTCCTTTCCTTTCGCTATGCGAAGAGACGGAAAAGAGAACTTGTATTTGATGGTTCGTCCTTTTTTCTCTCGCTAGGCGAAGAGACGGGAAAGAGAAATTGCAGTTGAGGTATAGTCCTTTCCTTTCGCTATGCGAAGAGACGGAAAAGAGAACTTGTATTTGATGGTTCGTCCTTTTCTCTCGCTAGGCGAAGAGACGGAAAGAGAAATTGCAGTTGAGGTATAGTCCTTTCCTTTCGCTATGCGAAGAGACGGAAGAGAATGGTTCGTCCTTTTCTTGCTAGGCGAAGAGACGGAAGAGAATTTGATGGTATCGTCCTTTCCTTTCGCTATGCGAAGAGAGGCTTGTATTTGATGGTTCGTCCTTTTTCTCTCCAGGCGAAGAGACGGAAAGAGAAATTGCAGTTGAGGTATAGTCCTTTCCTTTCGCTATGCGAAGAGACGGAAAAGAGAACTTGTATTTGATGGTTCGTCCTTTTCTCTCGCTAGGCGATGAGACGGGAAAGAGAAATTGCAGTTGAGGTATAGTCCTTTCCTTTCGCTATGCGAAGAGACGGAAAAGAGAACTTGTATTTGATGGACGTCCTTTTTTTTCTCTCGCTAGGCGAAGAGACGGGAAAGAGAAATTGCAGTTGAGGTATAGTCCTTTCCTTTCGCTATGCGAAGAGACGGAAAAGAGAACTTGTATTTGATGGTTCGTCCTTTTCTCTCGCTAGGCGAAGAGACGGGAAAGAGAAATTGCAGTTGAGGTATAGTCCTTTCCTTTCGCTATGCGAAGAGACGGAAAAGAGAACTTGTATTTGATGGTTCGTCCTTTTCTCTCGCTAGGCGAAGAGACGGGAAAGAGAAATTGCAGTTGAGGTATAGTCCTTTCCTTTCGCTATGCGAAGAGACGGAAAAGAGAACTTGTATTTGATGGTTCGTCCTTTTCTCTCGCTAGGCGAAGAGACGGGAAAGAGATATTGCAGTTGAGGTATAGTCCCTTTCCTTTCGCTATGCGAAGAGACGGAAAAGAGAACTTGTATTTGATGGTTCGTCCTTTTCTCTCGCTAGGCGAAGAGACGGGAAATAGTTGAGGTATAGTCCTTCCTTTCGCTATGCGAAGAGACGGAAAAGAAGAACTTGTATTTGATGGTTTCCTTTTTTTCGGTAGGCTAGAGACGGGAAAGAGAAGTTGAGAGTCCTTTCCTTTCGGAAAAGAGAACTTTATTTGATGGTTCGTCCTTTTCTCTCTCGCTAGGCGATGAGACGGGGAAATTGCAGTTGAGGTATAGTCCTTTCCTTTCGCTATGCGAAGAGACGGAAAAAGAGAACTTGTATTTGATGGTTCGTCCTTTTCTCTCGCTAGGCGATGAGACGGGAAAGAGAAATTGCAGTTGAGGTATAGTCCTTTCCTTTCGCTATGCGAAGAGACGGAAAAAAGAACTTGTATTTGATGGTTCGTCCTTTTTTCTCTCGCTAGGCGAAGAGACGGGAAAGAGAAATTGCAGTTGAGGTATAGTCCTTTCCTTTCGCTATGCGAAGAGACGGAAAAAAGAGAACTTGTATTTGATGGTTCGTCCTTTCTCTCGCTAGGCGATGAGACAGGGAAAGAGAAATTGCAGTTGAGGTATAGTCCTTTCCTTTCGCTATGCGAAGAGACGGAAAAAAGAGAACTTGTATTTGATGGTTCGTCCTTTTCTCTCGCTTGGGCGAAGAGACAGGAAGAAATTGCAGTTGAGGTATAGTCCTTTCCTTTCGCTATGCGAAGAGACGGAAAAGAGAAATTTGATGGTTCGTCCTTTTCTCTCGCTAGGCGATGAGACGGGAAAGAGAAATTGCAGTTGAGGTATAGTCCTTTCCTTTCGCTATGCGAAGAGACGGAAAAAGAGAACTTGTATTTGATGGTTCGTCCTTTTTCTCTCGCAGTTGAGGTATAGTCCTTTCCTGAGACGAAGAGACGGGGAAATTTGAGTCCTTTTCTCTCGCTAGGCACGGTTGAAATTATAGTCCTTTCCCTCCTTTCGCTATGCGAAGAGACGGAAAAGAACTTGTATTTGATGGTTCGTCCTTTTCTCTCGCTAGGCGAAGAGACGGGAAAGAGAAATTGCAGTTGAGGTATAGTCCTTTCCTTTCGCTATGCGAAGAGACGGAAAAAGAGAACTTGTATTTGATGGTTCGTCCTTTTCTCTCGCTAGGCGAAGAGGGGGAAGAAATTGCAGAGGTATAGTCCTTTCCTTTCGCTATGCGAAGAGACGGAAAAAGAGAACTTGTATTTGATGGTTCGTCCTTTTCTCTCGCTAGGCGAAGAGACGGGAAAGAGAAATTGCAGTTGAGGTATAGTCCTTTCCTTTCGCTATGCGAAGAGACGGAAAAAGAACTTGTATTTGATGGTTCGTCCTTTTTCTCGCTAGGCGAAGAGACGGGAAAGAGAAATTGCAGTTGAGGTATAGTCCTTTCCTTTCGCTATGCGAAGAGACGGAAAAGAGAACTTGTATTTGATGGTTCGTCCTTTTTCTCTCGCCAGGCGATGAGACGGGAAAGAGAAATTGCAGTTGAGGTATAGTCCTTTCCTTTCGCTATGCGAAGAGACGGAAAAGAGAACTTGTATTTGATGGTTCGTCCTTTTCTCTCGCTAGGCGATGAGACGGGAAAGAGAAATTGCAGTTGAGGTATAGTCCTTTCCTTTCGCTATGCGAAGAGACGGAAAAGAGAACTTGTATTTGATGGTTCGTCTTTTCTCTCGCTAGGCGAAGAGACGGGAAAGAGAAATTGCAGTTGAGGTATAGTCCTTTCCTTTCGCTATGCGAAGAGACGGAAAAGAGAACTTGTATTTGATGGTTCGTCCTTTTCTCTCGCTAGGCGATGAGACGGGAAAGAGAAATTGCAGTTGAGGTATAGTCCTTTCCTTTCGCTATGCGAAGAGACGGAAAATAGAACTTGTATTTGATGGTTCGTCCTTTTCTCTCGCTAGGCGATGAGACGGGAAAGAGAAATTGCAGTTGAGGTATAGTCCTTTCCTTTCGCTATGCGAAGAGACGGAAAAGAGAACTTGTATTTGATGGTTCGTCCTTTTCTCTCGCTAGGCGAAGAGACGGGAAAGAAATTGCAGTTGAGGTATAGTCCTTTCCTTTCGCTATGCGAAGAGACGGAAAAAGAACTTGTATTTGATGGTTCGTCCTTTTCTCTCGCTAGGCGAAGAGACGGAAAGAGAAATTGCAGTTGAGGTATAGTCCTTTCCTTTCGCTATGCGAAGAGACGGAAAAGAGAACTTGTATTTGATGGTTCGTCCTTTTCTCTCGCTAGGCGAAGAGACGGAAAGAGAAATTGCAGTTGAGGTATAGTCCTTTCCTTTCGCTATGCGAAGAGACGGAAAAGAGAACTTGTATTTGATGGTTCGTCCTTTTCTCGCTAGGCGAAGAGACGGGAAAGAGAAATTGCAGTTGAGGTATAGTCCTTTCCTTTCGCTATGCGAAGAGACGGAAAAGAGAACTTGTATTTGATGGTTCGTCCTTTTTTCTCTCGCTAGGCGAAGAGACAAAAAGAGAAATTGCAGTTGAGGTATAGTCCTTTCCTTTCGCTATGCGAAGAGACGGAAAAGAGAACTTGTATTTGATGGTTCGTCCTTTTCTCTCGCTAGGCGATGAGACGAAAAGAAATTGCAGTTGAGGTATAGTCCTTTCCTTTCGCTATGCGAAGAGACGGAAAAGAGAACTTGTATTTGATGGTTCGTCCTTTTCTCTCGCTAGGGCGATGAGACGGGAAAGAAATTGCAGTTGAGGTATAGTCCTTTTTTCGCTATGCGAAGAGACGGAAAAGAGAACTTGTATTTGATGGTTCGTCCTTTCCTTTCGCTAGGCGAAGAGACGGAAAGAGAAATTGCAGTTGAGGTATAGTCCTTTCCTTTCGTTATGCGAAGAGACGGAAAAGAGAACTTGTATTTGATGGTTCGTCCTTTTCTCTCGCTAGGCGATGCGAAGGACGGAAAGAGAAATTGTATTTGATGGTATAGTCCTTTTCTCTCGCTAGGCGAAGAGACGGAAAAGAGAACTTTCCTTTCGCTTGATGGTATTTGATGGTTCGTCCTTTTCTCTCGCTAGGCGAAGAGACGGAAAAAAGAGAAATTGCAGTTGAGGTATAGTCCTTTCCCTTTAGGCGAAGAGCGGGAAAGAGAAATTGCGAAGAGACGAAAAGAGAACTTGTATTTGATGGTTCGTCCTTTTTCTCGCTAGGGCGAAGAGACCTTTCCTTTCGCTATGCGAAGAGACGAAAGAGAAGCTAGGCGAAGAGACGGGAAAGAGAAATTGCAGAAGTCCTTTCCTTTCGCTATGCGAAGAGACGGAAAAGAGAACTTGTATTTGATGGTTCGTCCTTTTCTCTCGCTAGGCGAAGAGACGGAAAGAGAAATTGCAGTTGAGGTATAGTCCTTTCCTTTCGCTATGCGAAGAGACGGAAAAGAGAACTTGTATTTGATGGTTCGTCCTTTTCTCTCGCTAGGCGATGAGACGGGAAAGAGAAATTGCAGTTGAGGTATAGTCCTTTCCTTTCGCTATGCGAAGAGACGGAAAAGAGAACTTGTATTTGATGGTTCGTCCTTTTTCTCGCTAGGCGAAGAGACGGGAAAGAGAAATTGCAGTTGAGGTATAGTCCTTTCCTTTCGCTATGCGAAGAGACGGAAGAGAACTTGTATTTGATGGTTCGTCCTTTTCTCTTAGGCGAAGAGACGGGAAAGAGAAATTGCAGTTGAGGTATAGTCCTTCCTTTCGCTATGCGAAGAGACGGAAAAGAGAACTTGTATTTGATGGTTCGTCCTTTTTCTCTCGCTAGGCGATGAGACGGAAAGAGAAATTGCAGTTGAGGTATAGTCCTTTCCTTTCGCAGTGCGAAGAGACGGAAAAGAGAACTTTTATTTGATGGTTCGTCCTTTTCTCTCGCTAGGGCGAAGAGACGGGAAGAGAAATTGCAGTTGGCTATGCGAAGAGACGGAAAAGAGAACTTGTATTTGATGGTTCGTCCTTTTTCTCGCTAGGCGAAGAGACGGGAAAGAGAAATTGCAGCTATAGTCCTTTCCTTTCGCTATGCGAAGAGACGGAAAAAGAACTTGTATTTGATGGTTCGTCCTTTTCTCTCGCTAGGCGAAGAGACGGGAAAGAGAAATTGCAGTTGAGGTATAGTCCTTTCCTTTTCGCTATGCGAAGAGACGGAAAAGAGAACTTGTATTTGATGGTTGGTTCAGTTTTCTAGTCCTTTCCTTTCTTGCTATGCGAAGAGACGGAAAAGAGAACTTGTATTTGATGGTTCGAATCCCTTTTTCTCGCTAGGCGAAGAGACGGAAAAGAGAATTGCAGTTGAGGTATAGTCCTTTCCTTTCGCTATGCGAAGAGACGGAAAGAGAACTTGTATTTGATGGTTCGTCCTTTTCTCTCTCTAGGCGAAGAGACGGAAAAGAGAAATTGCGTTGAGGTATAGTCCTTTCCTTTCGCTATGCGAAGAGACGGAAAAGAGAAATTTGATGGTTCGTCCTTTTCTCTCGCTAGGCGAAGAGCAGAAATTGCAGTTGAGGTATAGTCCTTTCCTTTCGCTATGCGAAGAGACGGAAAATAGAACTTTATTTGAGAGGCGAAGAGAAAAGAGAAACAGTTGAGGTATATTTCCTTTGGCTATGCGAAGAGACGGTCCTTTTCTCTCGCTAGGCGAAGAGACGGGAAAGAGAAATTGCAGTTGAGGTATAGTCCTTTCCTTTCGCTATGCGAAGAGACGGAAAAGAGAACTTTTATTTGATGGTTCGTCCTTTTCTCTCGCTAGGCGAAGAGACGGGAAAGAGAAATTGCAGTTGAGGTATAGTCCTTTCCTTTCGCTATGCGAAGAGAAAAAGAGAACTTTTATTTGATGGTTCGTCCTTTTTCTCTCGCTAGGCGAAGAGACGGAAAGAGAAATTGCAGTTGAGGTATAGTCCTTTCCTTTCGTTGCGAAGAGACGGAAAAGAGAACTTGTATTTGATGGTTCGTCCTTTTCTCTCTCGCTAGGCGATGAGACAGGAAAGAGAAATTGCAGTTGAGGTATAGTCCTTCCTTTCGCCTGCGAAGAGACGGAAAAGAGGTATTTGATGGTTCGTCCTTTCCTTTCGCTATGCGAAGAGACGGAAAAGAGAACTTGTATTTCGATGCGAAGAGACGGAAAAGGAACTTGTATTTACGTCCTTTTTTCTCGAGGCGATGAGACTCGCTAGGCTATGCGAAGACGGGGAAGAGAAATTGCAGAAAGAGACGGAAAGGTATGCCGTTGAGGTATAGTCCTTTCCTTTCGCTATCGGAAAAGAAGAACTTGTATTTGATGGTTCGTCCTTTTCTCTCGCGAGGCGAAGAGACGGAAAGAGATAAAGTCCTTTCCTTTCGCTATGCGAAGAGGAAAAAGAGAACTTGTATTTGATGGTTCGTCCTTTTCTCTCGCTAGGCGAAGAGACGGAAAAGAGAACTTTATTTGATGGTTCGTCTTTCTCTGCAGTTGAGTCCTTTCCTTTCGCTATGCGAAGAGACGGAAAAAGAGAACTTGTATTTGATGGTTCGTCCTTTTCTCTCGCGAGGCGAAGAGACGGAAAAGAGAATTGCAGTTGAGGTATAGTCCTTTCCTTTCGCTATGCGAAGAGACGGAAAAGAGAACTTGTATTTGATGGTTCGTCCTTTTTCTTCTCGCGAGGCGATGAGACGGAAAAGAGAAATTGCAGTTGAGGTATAGTCCTTTCCTTTCGCTATGCGAAGAGACGGAAAAGAGAACTTGTATTTGATGGTTCGTCCTTTTCTCTCGCTAGGCGATGAGACGGAGAAAAGTTGAGGTATAGTCCTTTCCTTTCGCTATGCGAAGAGTTGAAGAGAACTTGTATTTGATGGTTCGTCCTTTTCTCTTTCGCGAGGCGAAGAGACGGAAAAGAGAAGTTGAGGTATAGTCCTTTCCTTTCGATGGTTGAAGAGACGGAAAAAGAGAACTTGTATTTGATGGTTCGTCTTTTTCGCTAGGCGAAGAGACGGAAAAGAGAAATTGCAGTTGAGGTATAGTCCTTTCCTTTCGCTATGCGAAGAGACGGAAAAGAGAACTTGTATTTGATGGTTCGTCCTTTTTCTCTCGCTAGGCGAAGAGACGGAAAAGAGAAATTGCAGTTGAGGTATAGTTTCCTTTCCTTTCGCTATGCGAAGAGACGGAAAATAGAACTTGTATTTGATGGTTCGTCCTTTTTCTCTCGCCAGGCGAAGAGACGGGAAAGAGAAATTGCAGTTGAGGTATAGTCCTTTCCTTTCGCTATGCGAAGAGACGGAAAAGAGAAATTTGATGGTTCGTCCTTTTTCTCGCGAGGCGAAGAGACGGAAAGAGAAATTGCAGTTGAGGTATAGTCCTTTCCTTTCGCTATGCGAAGAGACGGAAAAGAGAACTTGTATTTGATGGTTCGTCCTTTCTCTCGCTAGGCGAAGAGACAGGAAAGAGAAATTGCAGTTGAGGTATAGTCCTTTCCTTTCGCTATGCGAAGAGACGGAAAAGAGAACTTGTATTTGATGGTTCGTCCTTTTCTCTCGCTAGGCGAAGAGACGGAAAAGAGAAAGTTGAGGTATAGTCCTTTCCTTTCGCTATGCGAAGAGACGGAAAAGAGAACTTGTATTTGATGGTTCGTCCTTTTCTCTCGCTAGGCGAAGAGACGGGAAAGAGAAATTGCCGTTGAGGTATAGTCCTTTCCTTTCGCTATGCGAAGAGACGGAAAAGAGAACTTGTATTTGATGGTTCGTCCTTTTCTTCGCAGTTGAGGTATAGTCCTTTTCTTTCGCTATGCGAAGAGACGGAAAAAATGCGAAGAACTTGTATTTGATGGTTCGTCCTTTTCTCTCGCTAGGCGATGAGACGGAAAGAGAAATTGCCGTTGAGGTATAGTCCTTTCCTTTCGCTATGCGAAGAGACGGAAAAGAGAACTTGTATTTGATGGTTCGTCCTTTTCTCTCGCGAGGCGATGAGACGGAAGAGAGATATTGCCGTTGAGGTATAGTCCTTTCCTTTCGCTATGCGAAGAGACGGAAAAGAGAACTTGTATTTGATGGTTCGTCCTTTTCTCTCGCTAGGCGAAGAGACGGAAAGAGAAATTGCAGTTGAGGTATAGTCCTTTCCTTTCGCTATGCGAAGAGACGGAAAAGAGAACTTTATTTGATGGTTCGTCCTTTTCTCTCGCTAGGCGAAGAGACAGGAAAGAGAAATTGCAGTTGAGGTATAGTCCTTTCCTTTCGCTATGCGAAGAGACGGAAAAGAGAACTTGTATTTGATGGTTCGTCCTTTTCTCTCTCGCTAGGCGAAGAGACGGGAAGAGAAATTGCAGTTGAGGTATAGTCCTTTCCTTTCGCTATGCGAAGAGACGGAAAAAGAGAACTTGTATTTGATGGTTCGTCCTTTTCTCTCGCTAGGCGAAGAGACGGAAAAAGAAATTGCAGTTGAGGTATAGTCCTTTCCTTTCGCTATGCGAAGAGACGGAAAAGAGAACTTGTATTTGATGGTTCGTCCTTTTCTCTCGCTAGGCGATGAGACGGTTCGTCCTTTTCCTTTCCTTTCGCTAGGCGAAGAGACGGAAAGAGAACTTGTATTTGATGGTTCGTCCTTTTTGCCGTAGGCGAAGAGACGGGAAAGAGTATAGCAGTTTTCCTTTCGCTATGCGAAGAGACGGAAAAGAGAACTTGTATTTGATGGTTCGTCCTTTTTTCTCTCGAGGCGAAGAGACGGGAAAGAGAAAAGTTGAGTATAGTCCTTTCCTTTCGCTATGCGAAGAGACGGAAAAGAGAACTTGTATTTGATGGTTCGTCCTTTTCTCTCCTTAGGCGAAGAGACGGGAAAGAGAAATTGCAGTTGAGGTATAGTCCTTCCTTTCCTTTGCGAAGAGACGGAAAAGAGAACTTGTATTTGATGGTTCGTCCTTTTCTCTCGCTAGGCGAAGAGACAGGAAAGAGAAAAGAGAACTTTCCTTTTTGAGAGAACTTGGATGGTTCGTCCTTTTCTCTCGCTAGGCGAAGAGACGGGAAAGAAATTGCAGTTGAGGTATAGTCCTTTCCTTTCGCTATGCGAAGAGACGGAAAAGAGAACTTGTATTTGATGGTTCGTCCTTTTTCTCTCGCTAGGCGAAGAGACGGAAAAGAGAAATTGCAGTTAGGGTCCTTTTTCCTTTCGCTATGCGAAAGAGACGGAAAAAGAGAACTTGTATTTGATGGTTCGTCCTTTTCTCTCGCTAGGCGAAGAAGAAAGAAATTGCAGTTGAGGTATAGTCCTTTCCTTTCGCTATGCGAAGAGACGGAAAAGAGAACTTGTATTTGATGGTTCGTCCTTTTCTCTCGCCAGGCGAAGAGACGGGAAAGAGGCGTCCTTTCCTTTGAGACGGAAAAAGAGAATTGCAGTTGAGGTATAGTCCTTTCCTTTCGCTATGCGAAGAGACGGAAAAGAGAACTTGTATTTGATGGTTCGTCCTTTTTCTCTCGCTAGGCGAAGAGACAGGAAAGAGAAATTGCAGTTGAAGTATAGTCCTTTCCTTTCGCTATGCGAAGAGACGGAAAGAACTTTTATTTGATGGTTCGTCCTTTTTCGCGAGGCGAAGAGACGGAAAGAGAAAAATTGCAGTTGAGGTATAGTCCTTTCCTTTCGCTATGCGAAGAGACGGAAAAAGAGAACTTGTATTTGATGGTTCGTCCTTTTCTCTCGCGAGGCGATGAGACGGAAGAGAGATATTGCAGTTGAGGTATAGTCCTTTCCTTTCGCTATGCGAAGAGACGGAAAAGAGAACTTGTATTTGATGGTTCGTCCTTTTCTCTCGCGAGGCGATGAGACGGAAGAGAGATATTGCCGTTGAGGTATAGTCCTTTCCTTTCGCTATGCGAAGAGACGGAAAAGAGGAGGCGATGAGACGGAAGAGAATTGCAGTTGAGGTATAGTCCTTTCCTTTCGCTATGCGAAGAGACGGAAAAAAGAACTTGTATTTGATGGTTCGTCCTTTTTCTCTCGCTAGGCGATGAGACGGAAAGAGATTGCAGTTGAGGTATAGTCCTTTCCTTTCGCTATGCGAAGAGACGGAAAAGAGAACTTGTATTTGATGGTTCGTCCTTTTCTCTCGCTAGGCGAAGAGACGGGAAAGAAATTTATAGTCCTTTCCTTTCGCTATGCGAAGAGACGGAAAAGAGAACTTGTATTTGATGGTTCGTCCTTTTCTCTCGCTAGGCGAAGAGACAGGGAAAGAGAAATTGCAGTTGAGGTATAGTCCTTTCCTTTCGCTATGCGAAGAGACGGAAAAAGAGAACTTGTATTTGATGGTTCGTCCTTTTCTCTCGCTAGGCGAAGAGACGGAAAAGAGAAATTGCAGTTGAGGTATAGTCCTTTCCTTTCGCTATGCGAAGAGACGGAAAAAAGAACTTGTATTTGATGGTTCGTCCTTTTTTCTCTCTAGGCGAAGAGACGGAAAGAGAAATTGCAGTTGAGGTATAGTCCTTTCCTTTCGCTATGCGAAGAGACGGAAAAGAGAACTTGTATTTGATGGTTCGTCCTTTTCTCTCGCTAGGCGAAGAGACAGGGGAAAGAGAAATTGCCGTTGAGGTATTGTATTTCCTTTCCTTTCGCTATGCGAAGAGACGGAAAAAAAAAGAACTTGCGAGACGGAAAGAGAATTTGATGGTTCGTCCTTTTCTCTCGCGAGGCGATGAGAGAACGGAAGAAATTGCCGTTGAGGTATAGTCCTTTCCTTTCGCTATGCGAAGAGACGGAAAAGAGAACTTGTATTTGATGGTTCGTCCTTTTCTCTCGCGAGGCGATGAGACGGAAGAGAGATATTGCAGTTGAGGTATAGTCCTTTCCTTTCGCTATGCGAAGAGACGGAAAAGAGAACTTGTATTTGATGGTTCGTCCTTTTTCTCAGGAGGCGAAGAGACGCAGTTGAGGTATAGTCCTTTCCTTTCGCTATGCGAAGAGACGGAAAAGAGAACTTGTATTTGATGGTTCGTCCTTTTCTCTCGCTAGGCGAAGAGACGGAAAGAGAATTGCCGTTGAGGTATAGTCCTTTCCTTTCGCTATGCGAAGAGACGGAAAGAGAACTTGTATTTGATGGTTCGTCCTTTTCTCTCTCGCCAGGCGAAGAGACAGGAAAGAGAAATTGCAGTTGATTATAGTCCTTTCCTTTTTTATGCGAAGAGACGGAAAAGAGAACTTGTATTTGATGGTTCGTCCTTTTTCTCTCGCGAGGCGATGAGACGGAAAAGAGAAATTGCAGTTGAGGTATAGTCCTTTCCTTTCGCTATGCGAAGAGACGGAAAATAGAAATTTGATGGTTCGTCCTTTTCTCTCGCTAGGCGATGAGACAGGAAAAGAGAACGTTGAGGTATAGTCCTTTTTCCTTTCGCTATGCGAAGAGACGGAAAAGAGAACTTGTATTTGATGGTTCGTCCTTTTCTCTCGCGAGGCGATGAGACGGAAGAGAGATATTGCAGTTGAGGTATAGTCCTTTCCTTTCGCTATGCGAAGAGACGGAAAAGAGAACTTGTATTTGATGGTTCGTCCTTTTCTCTCGCTAGGCGAAGAGACGGGAAAGAGAAATTGCAGTTGAGGTATAGTCCTTTCCTTTCGCTATGCGAAGAGACGGAAAAGAGAACTTGTATTTGATGGTTCGTCCTTTTCTCTCGCTAGGCGATGAGACGGGAAAGAGAAATTGCAGTTGAGGTATAGTCCTTTCCTTTCCTATGCGAAGAGACGGAAAAGAGAACTTGTATTTGATGGTTCGTCTTTTTTTTTTCTCTCGCTAGGCGAAGAGACGGAAAAGAGAAAAGTTGAGGTAAGTCCTTTCCTTTCGCTATGCGAAGAGACGGAAAAGAGAACTTGTATTTGATGGTTCGTCCTTTTCTCTCGCTAGGCGAAGAGACGGAAGAGAAATTGCAGTTGAGGTATAGTCCTTTCCTTTCGCTATGCGAAGAGACGGAAAAGAGAACTTGTATTTGATGGTTCGTCCTTTTCTCTCTTCAGGCGAAGAGACGGAAAGAGAAATTGCAGTTGAGGTATAGTCCTTTCCTTTCGCTATGCGAAGAGACGGAAAAAGAGAACTTGTATTTGATGGTTCGTCCTTTTTCTCGCGAGGCGAAGAGACGGAAAGAGAAGTTGAGGTATAGTCCTTTCCTTTCGCTATGCGAAGAGACGAAAAAAAGAGAAATTGCCGTTGATGGTTCGTCCTTTTCCTTAGAGGCGATGAGACCTTTCGCTATGCGAAGAGACGGAAAAGAGAACTTGTATTTGATGGTTCGTCCTTTTTCTCTCGCTAGGCGAAGAGACGGGAAAGAGAAATTGCAGTTGAGGTATAGTCCTTTCCTTTCGCTATGCGAAGAGACGGAAAAAGAGAACTTGTATTTGATGGTTCGTCCTTTTCTCTCGTGAGGCGAAGAGACGGAAAGAAATTGCCGTTGAGGTATAGTCCTTTCCTTTCGTTATGCGAAGAGACGGAAAAAGAGAACTTGTATTTGATGGTTCGTCCTTTTCTCTCGCGAGGCGATGAGACGGAAAAGAGAAATTGCAGTTGAGGTATAGTCCTTTCCTTTCGCTATGCGAAGAGACGGAAAAAGAGAACTTGTATTTGATGGTTCGTCCTTTTCTCTCGCTAGGCGAAGAGACGGAAAAGAGAAATTGCAGTTGAGGTATAGTCCTTTCCTTTCGCTATGCGAAGAGACGGAAAAAGAGAACTTGTATTTGATGGTTCGTCCTTTTCTCTCGCTAGGCGAAGAGACAGGAAAGAGAAATTGCAGTTGAGGTATAGTCCTTTCCTTTCGCTATGCGAAGAGACGGAAAAGAGAACTTGTATTTGATGGTTCGTCCTTTTTTCTCTCGCTAGGCGAAGAGACGGGAAAGAGAAATTGCAGTTGAGGTATAGTCCTTTCCTTTCGCTATGCGAAGAGACGGAAAAGAGAACTTGTATTTGATGGTTCGTCCTTTTCTCTCGCTAGGCGATGAGACGGGAAGAGAAATTGCAGTTGAGGTATAGTCCTTTCCTTTCGCTATGCGAAGAGACGGAAAAAGAGAACTTGTATTTGATGGTTCGTCCTTTTCTCTCGCTAGGCGATGAGACGGGAAAGAGAAATTGCAGTTGAGGTATAGTCCTTTCCTTTCGCTATGCGAAGAGACGGAAAAAGAACTTTGTATTTGATGGTTCGTCCTTTTCTCTCGCTAGGCGAAGAGACGGGAAAGAGAAATTGCAGTTGAGGTATAGTCCTTTCCTTTCGCTATGCGAAGAGACGGAAAAAGAGAACTTGTATTTGATGGTTCGTCCTTTTCTCTCGCTAGGCGATGAGACGGAAGAGAGAAATTGCAGTTGAGGTATAGTCCTTTCCTTTCGCTATGCGAAGAGACGGAAAAGAGAACTTGTATTTGATGGTTCGTCCTTTTTCTCGCTAGGGCGATGAGACGGAAAAAGAGAAATTGCAGTTGAGGTATAGTCCTTTCCTTTCGCTATGCGAAGAGACGAAAAGAGAACTTGTATTTGATGGTTCGTCCTTTTCTCTCGCTAGGCGAAGAGACGGGAAAGAGAAATTGCAGTTGAGGTATAGTCCTTTCCTTTCGCTATGCGAAGAGACGGAAAAGAGAACTTGTATTTGATGGTTCGTCCTTTTTTTCTCTCGCTAGGCGAAGAGACGGAAAGAGAAATTGCAGTTGAGGTATAGTCCTTTCCTTTCGCTATGCGAAGAGACGGAAAAGAGAACTTGTATTTGATGGTTCGTCCTTTTTCTCTCGCTAGGCGAAGAGACGTCCTTTTTTCGCTCTCGGAAAAAGAGAACTTGTATTTGATGGTTCGTCCAGGGCGAAGAGGAAAGAAGCGCGAAGAGACGGAAAAAGAGAATATTGAGTTGAATTATAGTCCTTTCCTTTCGCTATGCGAAGAGACGGAAAATAGAACTTTTATTTGATGGTTCGTCCTTTTCTCTCGCGAGGCGAAGAGACGGAAGAGAGATATTGCAGTTGAGGTATAGTCCTTTCCTTTCGCTATGCGAAGAGACGGAAAAGAGAACTTGTATTTGATGGTTCGTCCTTTTTCTCGCTAGGCGAAGAGACGGGAAAGAGAAATTGCAGTTGAGGTATAGTCCTTTCCTTTCGCTATGCGAAGAGACGGAAAAGAAACTTGATTTGATGGTTGTCCTTTTTCTCTCGCTAGGCGAAGAGACGGAAAAGAGAAATTGCAGTCCTTTTCTTTCGCTATGCGAAGAGACGGAAAAAAGAGAACTTGTATTTGATGGTTCGTCCTTTTCTCTCGCTAGGCGTTGAGACGGGAAAGAGAGCAGTTGAGGTATAGTCCTTTCCTTTCGCTATGCGAAGAGACGGAAAAGAGAACTTGTATTTGATGGTTCGTCCTTTTTCTCTCGCTAGGCGAAGAGTCCTTTTCTCTTAGGGGAAAGAGAAATTGCAGTTGAGGTATAGTCCTTTCCTTTCGCTATGCGAAGAGACGGAAAATAGAACTTTTATTTGATGGTTCGTCCTTTTCTCTCGCTAGGCGAAGAGACGGGAAAGAGAAATTGCCGTTGAGGTATAGTCCTTTCCTTTCGCTATGCGAAGAGACGGAAAAGAGAACTTGTATTTGATGGTTCGTCCTTTTCTCTCGCTAGGCGAAGAGACGGGAAAGAGAAATTGCAGTTGAGGTATAGTCCTTTCCTTTCGCTATGCGAAGAGACGGAAAAGAGAACTTGTATTTGATGGTTCGTCCTTTTCTCTCGCTAGGCGATGAGACAGAAAAGAGAAATTGCAGTTGATGGCTAGTCCTTTTCTCTTGCTATGCGAAGAGACGGGAAAGAGAATATGCATTTGATGGTTCGTCCATTTCTTTCGCTAGGTGATGACACGGATAAGAGAACTTGTATTTGATGGTTCGTCCATTTCTTTCGCTAGGCGAAGAGACAGTAAAGAAAATATACAGCTGAGGAATAGTCCTTTTCTTTCGCTATGCGAAGAGATGGGAAAGAGAATATGCAATTGATAGTGCTTTTCTCTCGCTATTCGAAGAGACGGAAAATAGAACTTGCATTTGAGGTTTAGTCCTTTTCTCTAGTTTTGCAATTAAACGGGAAAGAGAACATGCCCTTGATGGTTAGGCCTTATCCCCACTATGCGAAGAGCCAGGAAATTTGATGGATAGTCGTTACTCACTATTTTTATGGTAATGTTTAATAATAATAATTTAATACCTTGATTCGATGTAATTTGGGCAGCTCAGCGCCAAATATTTTCCCAGTCCAGCAAGCTTATTTTTCCCACTTTTTAGAAATACACAAGGCGCCTATCTGATCTGTATCTTTCAAACATGTGTATCTAATATATATATATATATATATATATATATATATATATATATATATATATATATATGTCTGTGTGTGTGTGTTATTCCATCCCAGGGATGGTGATAATTACAAGACGCAAGAGGTTACAGAGAGTGAAAGTGTGCGAGAAGAAAGGGCAATAGTAAAACATTCTTCAGGAACACAATAAGATGTCGATTGTCATTGCATTTAGATTTTCGAAAATTGTAGTTATCAGGGAAACAAAACATCAGAATGGAATTCCTGAGGCGAGATGCGCGAGAAAAGAAACTATTAGAATAGAAGTAGTCGTTGCATCAAGCTAGTTCAACAGTTAAACTGTAAGACCTACTTGCCAATCGAGTAGAACACTTCAGTTCATGCCGCCGAGCTCATCAGAATAATTGCCATGAAAATATTTGTAGAAAGAGCAGAGGGAAGCTACTTTACGTCTATGAGAAAATGACGGGGCTTGAGTTATCGGATCACGTCAAATACAAATCACGTAGACCCTTCCTTGAATTTTGAAAAGAATCTCGATATAAAATAGTTTTGTGATGTCAACAAACACTGGTTGCCACTTTTGTGATATCAACGAATACTCGTTGTCATTTTCGTAATGCTCGTTGTAGTAGAGACTTTGTAATCGCAGATACAACTATAGTAACGCCGTTGAACAATACTGGTGTCAGACGCCTTCGAATAACACTCGCACTAATAATGCTTGCTCGATAATATTCGCCCGACAAGTAACGCACATAATGATCTGAATAGAGAAATAGTATAGTGAATAGAGTAGAGCATAACGGTCCGTATAGTAATAGAGGATAGACTAGAAATAGCGATCCGAATAGTAATAGAGGATAGACTAGAATTAGCAATCAATGTAGATGTCACGCGTCTTCCTATATATGCGTTTCCTCTATGGCCAGGTGGTCTATTAAATTCAATAAATGGATCGTATGCTCGCACTTTATTCCTGTATAAATCTTTGTAATGAAGGGCTCCAACGTAACCATACAGAGCATCTGGTTCTACGCAGAATGATCCTATCTGGTTCTACCATCTTGTACAAGTACTATACCCATGCTGATGACATGACCTACATAACAAGTAGGGTCATCAGACCAGATATGGTATCGGGTTTCAATGCACGGACGAATAGCTGTTTTATAAATCTGCAATATGGATTCTCCCCAGAAGAATTCTCTGGCATGACACAATGAACCAATTTTCCTAGCAGTAGACCAAGCATCTGATTCGATATAATCACTTCACTTCATATGTCAGTGGAAAACGTAAGACCATAAAGGCACAAAGATTTACCCTCCTGAAGGTTAGCATCAGCCGTGCTAATGGTAGGCAGAAAAAAATTCTCTATGGTAATTAAAGGATGGCAATTTTCTTTTATCGCTATCCCTTGAAGACCGTAAAAACAATAATTACATCTAAAAAATAACTAAATTTCTCGATACAAAACTACGTACAGATGGTTAGATTTCATGTTTATTAGATATAACCGCCTTCAACAGCAGTGGTGGCTTCAGTGCGTGACCCGAATCGTTGACATGCACACACTACAAGCTTTATATTGATAAAGAGATTTTTGTTATTAAAGAACAAGTATATTCATATACATTTAAAATAGCACCACATTTTTAAATAACATGTTAAGTAAAAGTTTCCTTCTTGATTCTGTTTTCTCTTAAACCTAATCGTTGCTCACATTTTGGTCGATGCTATCCTCAGCATCTTTATGTAGAACAACGGTTCTGTTGCATCAAGTATCTTCTTCAACTCAGAGGACTTTTACTGCCAAATAGGATAGATTTTTTTGTCATTAAAGAATCAGTATAATAATACTACATTTTTAATTAACAAAAATTTGCATAATTTTTCAAAATTATTCAGAAATATGCATATATCAATGATGTAAACACTATTTTCATGCCACGATATATGTAAATAATAAATAGTGCAGATAATTCTGTAGAAGTCATTGATCGATTTCACACTGTCTCGATATCATAAAGTGTTTTCCGTTTCCAAATCGATTAAAAAAAAGGATGAATATTTTTTTTTATTTTGGCTAATATCGTGCCGTGATGAAGGTCCGAAGAATTCTTATATACGTAAGAAGCAAAAAATGGACGCACCCATAGAAATGATGATGACAAAATATAAACCTTATTATATTTGTATTTATTAACCTGCTTAAGCATTGTTCTGACGTCGATAAAAGCCAAGTCGCCCGTTTTCATGATCTTGGGCTGCCGATTAGAGCGATAGCTGATAGTGATTTTCCAAACGTAGCATAAATGTGACAAAAGGCCGAAAGTATCGGGCACCCAGTGAGGATCGAACTCACTACTCAGTCGTAACTGATGTAGCGAGACAAGCTTGCTAACTATTACATCACATCGAAGTGCCCTAAATCGATAGCTGATAAGATTAATCGAAGTGAGCCATGTGTCCACAAGTTAATCAGAAAGAGAAATCAAGCTAGAACATATAATAGACATAGCGGATCTGGCTGACCGCTAAAAAACTACTGACAGGGAAGTTAGAAACTTGGGTTCGTCAATACAAAAAAATCGATTCACAATAGCACAAGATGTTTCCAAAGCGGCAAGTTGAGCGGTTTCTTCAAGAACAGTAAAACGCAGGCTTAAATCAAAAGGCATTTTTTCCCAAATACATAAAAAAGAAACCTTTCGTATCTTGAAAAACTCGACGGACACGGTTGGCTTGGTGCAAAGTTCATTTAAACTGGGCTAAATCTGATTGGTAAGATGTTATGTGGAGTTTTAACAGCCCCTTTACTCTTAGATATGAAGGACGAATAGGTGTTTTTTGTACGCGGAAAGAAACGAATACTCCAGTGACTACCAATGGCAGTGTTGAACACGATAAAAAAAATCAACGTTTGAGGTGAATTCTTAGCATCAGGAGTTGTTAATTTGTACAGTATGAAATGAATCATTTATCAGCATTAATGCCACAACATGCAACGAATTCTATTACTCACTTGTCTTGGTAAAATTACAAAAATCGACTATGAGTGCCTCCATTTTTTTGCCTCGTACTGCACATAAGTTGTTTCCAGGAATATATTTCCCTATTTTTAACGACTGAACAGTTTATTTAAGCAAAGCCATCAAAAGGAATAGTAAGAAAATCAAATTCGATATTTATTCAATCTTCCACCAAAAATCAAAAAAAGCCGTCGTCCGATCTGCATTAAAATACCACCTTATCAACAAGTTTTAAAAAAAAACACCAAATTAATGCGTTTACAGTATTATGGAAAATAATGAAAGATAAATCTATTTTTTCTATTATCGCTTACATTAAGTACGTCGCTGTATCATTGACCTTATATATATATATATATATATATATATATATATATATATATATATATATATATATATATATATATATATATACTTTATATATATATATATATATTTTGTATATATATATATATATATATATATATATATATATATATTTTATATATATATATATATATATATATATATATATATATATATATATATATATATATATATATATATATATATATATATATATATATTACATTTTGAAAAAACCTACGTGGTTGGTATTTAACGTGCTGTTTGGGTAATGTGTATCAGTCTACGGTCCTGACATCTATGGCCGTCTCGCCGAGTGTAGCAATGAGCATGCGTGTCGGGAAATTAATAGAAAACGGACGGTCATTGATCACAAAGAAAAAGATTTCCAGATATGCGAGAGCAGGACATAGTGAGAACACACTCACAAAAGCAAGCACGCGCCTCAGAACGAGGCCACACGAAAGGAATAACAAATGCAGACGACAACGTTGATTTTAGATTAGCGGAGAATTTTCCAAATAAGTAAATAGGGAAAGATTAAACGGTGATTTAGAAACAGACGGTCGCACGCGAAACGGCGAAATTGAGAAGAAGCCATTGACCAATCAGAACAGGTCTGCGCAGATGTACATAAATTGGGAAACTCACGCAGATTGTGGAATGAAGAGATTACCTTTCAGTTTCTGTGTAGATGGTGTATTACAGATAAGGAACCGGGGAGATGCGGCCATGATAGAGAAAGCGGCGACGAGGGCAATGCTGGGAATACATAGCAGGGGAAACTGATTGGACGCTGGAGAACAATTTAAGGAAATTGGATGAAAAGAAAGCGTTGAATTCCCAACAATATCTGAGTTGAGGGTAAAGGAAAGAAACAAAAAGAATGCAATGACGATGAAGAAGAAAACAATGACATATAGAAGGTATAATGTGAAAGTTGGGGAAAGAAAGAAAAAAGAAGAAAGAAGGAAAGATGAAGAATAATAAAGAAAGAAAAAAGAAAGTAAGAAAGAAAGAAAAACAGTATGAAAGAAGAAATAAAGAATTAAGAAAGAAGGAAAGAAAGAAAGAAGAAAGAAAGAGAAAATAATGGAGAAGAAAGAAATTGAAAAGAAAGAAAGAAAGAAAGAAGAGGGAAAGAAAGAAAGAAGAAAGAAAGGAAATATTTAAAGAACTTACAAGTAGATAGGGAAATTCAAGAAAAGTTTCAAGAAAGAGAGGAAGAAAGAAAGAAAAACAGAAATGATACGAAATATAGAAAAAAGAAAGTGTGAAAAATAAAAAAGAAAATAAAAAGAAAAAAGGATGAATAAAGAAAGGAAGAAGAAAGAAAGAAATAGGGAAACTGTAAAAAAAAAAAAAAGAAGAAGAAAGTGTAGAGCTGTCAGTGAAAGAAAGAAGGAAAAAGAAGAATAAACAAAATGAAAAGAAAGACAGAAAGATGTAAGAAAGACTGAAAGAAAAAGAACAACAAATATAGAAGATGAAGAAAAAAAGAAAGAAGAAACTGAAAGAAAGAAGATGATGAAGAAGAAGAAAGTAAAAGTAGCATAAAAGAAGAAAAAATAAGAAAGAAAGAAAGAAAGAAAGAAAGAAAGAAAGAATAATGAAAGAAAGAAAGGAAAAAAAGAAATGTCCAACAAAATATAAAGAATTCGCGGAAATAGTTGCAAATTACAGTGAGAAGATACGTAAAGAATTTAGTGATTAAGAAGAAAACTTCTTACTTATGGAATACGAAGCGAATGAGCACGATTCATTCTAGTATATACGGAATGGTGGTTTTCAAATGTAAAGTTTAGAACTGGAGGAATGTAGCTTGCCAGAAAATATCCCATGGAAATAGCGACTGGGTCGTGAGAGACTTGTAACGTTTCGTCTGTAGAAAAAAGGTGTTGGAAGGTGGAAAATAATTTACCGCCTATGCACTTGCAGTCTATCAAAAAAAAAAAAAAAAACAAGAATGTGCAGCTCCAGTCCAGATATGTCAGCTATATTCCATTTTTGATCTAGACTGTCCATTTTAACACCCTTTGATCAGCCGGATATAGGACTTACACTGACGATCTTGATTGCCCTTCAGTCCAATAGATGTCCAAGATAAAGAACTCCCGTTTGAGAATACCTATCCAACATGTTAGGTAAATTTCGGGGTCTGCTTGGTAGTGGTGGAAAGTTACTTGTTTGGTTTTGGGTGTATTGCTTTTTACCAGCCCGCCTCTTCCCGATTGTTACACCGAGTCTAGGTCATTGGATAAATAAGCTGCCATGTTCTGTTCATTCAGATTTTGGGACGCAAAACTATAAACGACTGTATCATCTAGGAATCGGGAAAAGTAGACCAAGATCCCCGGAACGGTCTTTCAAAAGCGTGTGGAACAGGGTCAGAAATAAAGCAGAAAAAGTTATAGATTTTTTTGAATGATTGATTTTTTTTTTACGGCTTATGAACAATTTGTAGGTTTATTTAAAGCAAAAAAAATCATTTTTAGATTGTAAGAATTTTTGAAGATTAACCGGTAGCTGGAATGGGGAAGAGTTGGCGCCAAATATTTCCCAAAAGAATTTATGCGTAAGAGAATGTAACGAACGTAACTGGAATTGAACTCGGCTCTTCAATTTCCATTTCCAACAGTTACACCATCCGCACATTTAGGCTTACAGTACCTGGTGTTCCCAAGCGGTCACCTATCTAGATAATGACAAGGCTCCATGTTGTTTAACTTCGGTGATCGTACAAGAGAAAAGGGTGCAAGAGAAAAATGTATATCCTTTGAAATAACAGAAAGAAAGAAGGAAGGAAAGAAAGACGATGTAGAAATAAAGGCGGAAAAACAGAAAGAAAGAAAGAAAGAAAGAAAGAAAGAAAGAGAGAGAGAACGAACGAACGAACGAACTGGTGGGAAAACAGAAAAAGCAAGTGTTAAAGTGAAATTTGAAAGAAAGAAAGAAAGAAAGAAAGAAAGAAAGAAAGGAAAATATGTAAACAATTGACAAGCAGGTATAAAAATTCAAAAAAGAGAGGAGAGAAAGGAAGAAAAATAGAGATGTTAAGAAATATAGGAAAAAGAAAGTGTAAAAGATAAAATAGAAAAGAAGAAAGAAAGAAAGAAAGAAAGAAAGAAAGAACTGATAGGAAAAACAGAAAAATCAAGTGTAAAATTGAAAAGTGAAAGAAAGAAAGAAAGAAAAAAGAAAGAAAGAAGTAATTAAAACGGTGGAAGAAAATACAGAAATAGCAAAAAGAAAAGTTAAGAATTCTTGAAGAAAGGAAATTGTAACAAATGGAATTAGAATACAGTGAATGAAAGAAAGAATGAAAGACATTGAAAAATATGTTGGAGTATAGTAAAAGTTAAGAGATAAGATGGAAAAAAAAAGGAAGAAAGAAATCTGCACGCGCGGAATAAAACTAATTCGGAAACTCCACTGAAAATAAGTGATCGACTAAAATTGAGTGACGACAGTGACAAACTTGAAGAAGGAAATGAATTAATCAAAGACCAGAAATTAAATCAAAATCTGAGAGAAAAAAAAAAAAAAAATCATTTGAAAAATAACATCCAACGAGAAATCTTCAACTTTCCCCCCAACAACATTCACGTCCTTATTTCAGTGTCTACATTCAAAGCCGAGAAAGACATTCATTTTTCACTTATTTAGCTCAAATGTAAATTTCCTCAAAGTTAAAAAAAAAATCGAAATCATATTAACCGACACACAATGCAGAAGCTATGTTGCCTACGTTACTATCCCACTTATGGTGTTGGGTGAGACATAAATAAATTCTCTCTCATCTTATGCGCAACCCGCCAAGTGGACTTGACTCTCTAGCCTTGGTTATCACCCAGTCTAGAAGGCTAACAATTCTGGTAGTCGGTCAGGTGTTGATGCCCTTGGATAGAGCAGTGGTCAACTTCTTTCTTCCAGCGTCTGCATTCAAAAAGGCCACCTGCTGTGTCCTCCCATCATACCGCTAGGCAAACCTTCTTTGGGGGGGGGGGCGTTTAAGTGGGAATCGTCCTTGGGTATAAGGACTCAACTTTATAAATATAACTTTTTTAACGAATGTTCACCAATACAAGGTTCAAGAGCCACTCAAGGTAGAGGGTTATTAAATGAGGTATGTGATAACAACGTAAGAAGAGACATTAGGAAGGGAAGGTTATGAGGATATGGAGGATATATAACGATTGACAATAGACATGAAGAGGTTAGTGTTCAGTGAAGCTTACCCGCAGTACTTTCATAAAGTAGTGTTTACTCGGGATGAAACTGTTTGAGTTGAACTTGATTCTTACGTATGGAATGAGGAGTGAATGCATATAAAGGTCTCAACATGTGGAACTAAAAACACATGCGTCTGAACCCCCTGTCATTGAACTAGAGGTGCATTTGGCTAAAGACGTTTTGTCTGTGAGAAAGCAGCTGAAAGATGAAAAAAAAACAACACAAAACCACGAAAACTAACTTGAACCCAAAGCTGGAATATGAGTTCGCAGTGAGGTGGGGTGCTCTACTCCCGAACTGCTGCCAATCACGATGAATGGATGTCCCTTCTGTGAGGCTATATACTTTGAGAGACCATTGGGCGTTAAACTCACATTTGGCTTCAAATGGAACTCGTAGATACGATCCATTGCTAAAGATGCCGGGAAAATGGTCGGCTTCCTGTACGACTTCAGCAAGTATCTGAGTCCGCATACTATCCTCTACCTTTACATGACCCAGATCAGGCCGAAAATGGATTACTATTGTTATATTTGGTCGGGGGCTGTTTAGTCCTGACTACATAGTCTCAATAGAGTCCAGAAGCGTCTCCGAGTCCTTGTGCGTGACAAATTATTTTCCTTCCAACCATTCTCTCACAGGCATCATATAACAAACCTCTCACGTCTCTGTCGCAACTACCAGGGACAGTGTTCGGACGAACTACATTCCTTGGTCCAGTCATTTCTTTCATGGCTAGGACCCGCTATGTCACTCACATTGTTGCAAACCACCGACATTCCTTCCGAGTCCCATTGGTGAGAAGTAAGGTCTACTCGACCCACTGCTCTGTGTAACCGACTCCCAAGAGGATGTTTCCCCGATCACTGTAATCCTAACCAAATCTAGGATACAACTTTATCTTCCTCTCCTGTCCGCATAAAAGGGAGCTTAATATAAGCCTCTACTTCGAGTCGTTCCCGGGTCTTGTACAGGGTGAACTTTACTGTAAAATGAAAAGGAGAGTACCTTGCAGTGTTGTCTTTTAAATTTAGTTTTCATTATAGTGACACGCACATTATAGCAAATTCCATTGTTGAGAAGTAAGTTCCACTTGAAGAGATGATTCCCGAGAAGCACTACACTGTTGAACCGACCATCAAAAGAATCTCTCACCGATCGCTACAGTCTTAACCTGTTCAAGTCTAAAGATAATCTTTATCTTCCTCTCCTATCCACATAAACCACCTCTTAATGTAACCCTCGAGTGACCTTGTGCCGGTTGAAACTTACTGAAGCAATACTCAAATTTTTGGTCTGATCTGACACTTGTGAAAACAAATTAAAGCAGAAAGAATCAGTTACTTTCTACTTTTAGTAGTGGATCGTATATATAAATTAGACTTGTGGTCAGGGATGAACTTAAATTACAGTCGACGTTCAAAAGAAAGAGACGTATTGGGATTTCAACCGTTCATTCTTAAGAGAATATTTAATGGTCTGCTCGATTGTGCTGTAATTATACAGGGTGACCAAAAAAAAAGGGAACTTTTTAACAATCCAATAAAACCAAGAGTGATGAAAGAAAAATATTTTATTCATAGTAATTGAAAAATTAAAACATGTCATTTAAGAAACAATGATGGAATTTTTATTTTTTTTTTAAATTACGTCCTGTAGATGGCGTCTTCCTATACGAATGCATTCTTGAAATCTGCTGTTGAGATTCCTCATTGACTGCTGCGCCATCTCAGCTGGGCTACTGTGAATTTCATCTTGAATTCTAAATGGCGAAATGTTTACTTGCTCAAGTTCACCGTCTCGCAGTGTTGCCACTTGCTCATGTCTGGCAATACGCACTTCAAATATTCCCGTTTTTGGGGGCTCACCCTATACAAGCTTGGATCTGAGTTTATGAAACTTACAAGCTACAGAGAGAGACATGTGACGAAATACGAAAGTTTTTTTTTTTTTTTTTTTACTGACAACGCGTTTCACTAGAATGGGGTCTTTAAATCAGAATTAAAAGACAAATCTGTGTGTCTTCCGTGTTAATGCCGTTAAAGCACCAGTCCTTTTACGATCAAGCTTATCCAGTACCTTGATGGGTAACCGGTTGGTAATATGATGGCTTGAGTGTGAGGGCAGTGTATGTGATAACTACCTTGAATTGGAAATCGGGGTGGCAATTGCAATCGGGTGTGTTATGTTCATTTACGTGCAAATCACCTTGGGTAATGTATGAATCCCATCTCTTTTTCCCGCCTGCTATGGGTTAATAAGTAGGACCTGTATCAGTAAATCATTAACATCTCAAAAAAATCTGACAATCTAAAAATGTTCTCTGGCTTTAAATAACCAGTAAAGTGCTGATAATCAATCATGAAATATTTATGATTTCGTTGTTTTTGAAGAGGGAGTTGAATTTTACGGTATACTGATTTTCTAAGCGTAGCTAAGATATGGCACAAGGCCAAAAGTATGGGCCCCCCAGTGAGGATCGAATTCACTCTCCAGTTGTAATTAATTTAGCGAGACAAGCTTGCCAACCATTACACCACGCCGAGATGCCCAAATGATTTTCTAAGCGTAGCTTAGATGTGGCACAAGGCCAACAGTAGGGGCGTCTAGTGAGGATCGAATTCACTCTCCAGTTATAACTAATTTAACGAGACAAGCTTGCTAACCATTACTCCACGCCGAGATGTCCAAATGATTTTCTATGCGTAGCTTAGATGTGGCACAAGGCCGAAAGTATAGGGCACCCAATGAGGATCGAATTCACTATTCAGTCGTAACTGATTTTTAGCGAGGTAAGCTTGCTAACCATTGCATCACACCGAGATGCCCGTATTTTACGATATAACAACGACGTTTGGTGTATTTAATATTAAAATCTGTTTTTATTATAGTTAAATCCATTAAATGGTGAGGCATTACTAAAGATTGTAGGGAAATATTCGCTATCCTTACTCGAGTAAAAGCTCCCCAAAGAGGCTATTTACCCCTCAGAGAATTTACTTGGTGTATTCTATGTTCCAACGAGTGGGTAGCACAGAGAAGGCATGCTAAATCTGCATATAGGTAGGTATTAACTGATCCATGTTTACAGTAATGGGAGATATGTAGACAAGGTGTGGATGAGTAGTTAGAACGTTCGCATTCTGACTCATGGGACCCAAATCTTACTATGGATGATTTGTCAGGTAAGAAACTTGTTTGTGTTATCGGTCCGGAGGCGACAATCCCAGTGTGAGGCACCTTTGGAATGTTTCTGAAAGCCATACTACGTGTTAGCCTAAGCCGTCAACCAGGGCACTTTATTAGTGTTCTCATAGTTTAACAATACAAGAATTGCTCTGATTTTATCAAACGTTCATGCTTTTTCTTAAGAATACATGTTCTGTTTGTTTCCAATTCCTCTCAAACTTTTTCGGTACTGACAAGTTCGGTCCATTGTACTTTCAGCATCTTTCTGTAGAACAACATTTCTGTGGCTTCAAGTCCCTTTATCTAGCATTTACTGCCATAAAGGGGAACTGATATTACATCAAAATTCTACACTATTTCCTTTGTTTCTAACGACATTTTTTTTTCTTTATAGTTTCGTTTGGTATGTTTTGTTTTACGTCATATCAATCTCAGTGCTTTTTTTTTAATGTCGACTAGATTTTTATTGCTGTTAATATTTTTTTTCTTTTTCAAAAATGTATTACAGGTAAGATATTTTTTCGAAAATGTATTGATGGTAACAATATATTGCTGATCATTTTTAATTTTCCCAAAATGTTTTGCAGGCATTAAAACCTATTTTTACACTTACATAATGTTTTGATCCCATATTAGGTGTAAATTATTTACCCATAGCTGAGATCCTAACAGGTGCTACCACCCTAGGTCATGGTCGATCTGGGAACGCCAGCGATTAAGACATTGTTCTACGCTCTTCAAAACCTTCTGATCAGAGGCCGTGCTGCTGGATGTAGTTTATCGTCATACCCAGGGCGCTGTTTCTTTATACTCTGCTTAACTTTTAGAAGCCACTTTTACTACGTCAATGCTTTTTCGAATTTCAGTGCCGCACTTTGCATTTACTGTTAAAACATTTTTTTTCCAGATGTTCAAATAGATATTTTCAGTTTGTAATCTGCATTGTTTATTTTTGCTAGCAACAGATAAGTCTTCTTGCAGTTGATGTTTAGTCCTTTCTTCTCGTTTCCCTTCACTAGCTTCTTAGGAGTTTTTTTTTTTTTTTTTTTTTTTTTCCATGTCTGCTACAAACACGGATAACTCTTCATATCTTCTACTGTTAAGATTGTGGTCCTCAAAAATTAATTCTGAAGTCCGCTAAGAAGAGATATCCTTGTCTTACGCCCATTAGCATTTCTGTATATTTACGGAATTCATTTGTTATTCGTATGCAGGCTTTCGTTAATCTAATATCCTCCCCAAATATGCCAGGATTACATATCAATTCCAACCGTTCTTTGTGAAGTACTTTGTCAAACACTTTTTCATTATCTATAAATTACACCTATTTATGCGTATACATATATAATTCCCTTATCCAGTGTCTTTAAAGCGTACTGTTCTTCTCCTACTTCCGGTCTGATTCTGTTGTGTGTTCTATTCGTTAGAATTCGGAGGATAAGTTTTGTTATGTCGCTCATTAGGTTGATTTTACGCTGGAGTTCAGATTCATTTGTAGCTGACTTCTTCGGCAGTGCTTTTCTTCATGTCGAGAATTTGATCCGTCATCCATACTTTTTTTCTTTTCTTTTCTATTATTCTTTGGGATGATTGCGATTGATGTTCCTACAGCTTCGCTTTATTCATTCGACTTTCCGAGTTTCTATTCTCCTAATGTCCGTTCTATCTGCTTTTAACACTTCATATATTCTCCTTCACATTCGAGATCATTCAAGAGTCTGTCATATTGCAAGTTGGGTTGTTTCCTTGAACATCTTCATGTTCCGTAATTTCACTCGGAATTGACATATCGCTGGAGGGCTGTATATATTTTCCTGTATAATACTGCATTCCTAAATAGCCGATTTGTTTTTTGTTTCCCCAGCTTCACACACACACACACACATATATATATATATATATATATATATATATATATATATATATATATATATATATTATAAATTAATTGATTTAAAATATGTTTTTTTCGCTACAGAGTTCAACCATCTTAAAAAAAAATGGAAGCTGAAAGCTCTGAATTTAATTTTGTAATTAAATTGAAAACATTAGTTCTATTTCATCCTCAAGCGAATTTTGGAGTAACTTTTAAAATTACTGGGTTTTAAAGACACGGCAAAAATCATAATTCACGTTTCAAGGATAAACGGTGCTGCTTTTTTACTGTTAAAACAGTAAATTTCCTTGTAGTTTTTGTTTTGTGATTCGTTCTGTTTAAGGAAGAAGTAAGCTCTCCATCTCATCCTTCGTATGAGTTCCTCTGTTTTTTTTTCATTAATATCACGAAATATTCCTTTTTGTTGGTATTAGGTATGTTCTTCAGAGAAATTCCGAAATTTATTTTCTCCATATTTTCTTCTTTTTATTTTATTTATATATATATATATATATATATATATGTGTGTGTGTGTGTGTGTGTGTACGTCCTGTGTGTTCCTGAAAAAAGATGTTGGCTACTACCTGAACATTGGAGCCATTTTTTTGCGCATTCATTACGAGGTCCGAGTACGAATTTTCATCTATTTCACTGTATATCCCCTTGCCTTCTTTGGCATTCAGATTTCTCATCAATATTTCAATTTCCTGAAATCTACATTGAGTCTTGTGGTTTTCTACCGTACATTAAAACTTTTCAATTTATTCAGCTGTACTTCGTGCTGTCGGTGCATATGCAATTATGGTAGATATGTTGAAAGGCCTTCCTTTCAGTTTAACGACAACAATTCTTTCAGATGGTTGATAGCGTTCCAGAACACATTTCTTCGTGCATTTGTCTAATATCAGTCCTACTTCTTTCTCATTTTTCTCTCCACCTGCATGCAGAATTCTTTGTTTGTCTCCGACAAAATCTTCATTGTTTGTACACCTCGTTTCGCATGCGCCTAAAATATTAACCTTTAACCTGTTCATTTCCTACATTATATTTTTTAAATGGTCAAATTGATTTAGTGTTCTGATATTCCATGCCCCGTGATTTATTTTCATTTGTTGGAAACAAAATGACAGTCCAATGCCACCTGTCTCTCATCTCCCCTTATGAATCACTTTGTACATATTTCAACAATTCGTAAGGAAGATTCCTCTTGAATTAACTTGAAGGTTAACTCTCATTAGATCCCTCACTCTGTCCTCAATGTAACCTCGATATGCTGACTTTTAATAAATCAGATTTTCGTTGGCGGTATCAAGCTTGTCTAGAACTTCCTTCTTCTTTGTATGTTTTTCTCGATCAAGTACAAGTTTTAAACCTTCACTGATGTTTGTTCCGTTAGTTTTATATAGAAAACGTTTTCCTAGCTTCTGAATGTCTCATAAGATTTTTAATTGATAGAAATGGCTGATTTTACAAGCAATAAAGATCTAAGTGAATTTCATTGACACTTCTATTTTTTTTTTCATACCTTGTGCAATCCCTTCCGTCGAAATCTTCTGTTTATTCTCCACGATGGTAAACAGCCTCTTCATCGATGTCAGAAGGTCTCCTGGAGCGTGGTGGATCGTTTAAGTTAAAATCACTCTGCCAAAATCGGCCAAGCGACTTTTAAAACGTCCGAAGAGCTGGAACACAATCCAAATAAATCTTGTGTGTGTGTATGTGTTTTTTCCGCAGTTCCGACGTTTACTCGTTTACGAAATTTATAGAGATTCATATGTCAAATAAACAAATTTTCGTCTTCCATCTTTAAGAAAAACATTTCTAAGCCAAGCGTCAACATTCAACAAAGTCTAACTCG